TGCAGGTTTAGTACGTAGCCAGTTAGAGGAGAGGAACCCTATAGACAACCTGATTCAGGAAAAGGGTGCACTGTGCATGTATTAAACACTGGAGAGATCACATGGGAAAAATCACAAATGCTCAGCTGGAAGCAAAGCTTCAGTAAGTGTTCATAATTTTTCATGACTATAAATCCATAGGAAACCATGGTACATCCATTCTGCACCTCGCAAAACTCCTGCTTTTGTTTTATTGTGATGCAGATGGAAAGAAAAAAAAGTGTAATTTAGGAAACTGTTAAAAAACCCCACAGTGTAAGATCCAGTAGATTGAAGTGCATCTGGTGGACCTAGCAGGCTTAGGAACTAGGATTCAGTAATCCATTTGTTGTTGGCATCCTGTTTGTAACAGAAGCCAGCAGTAGCAGAGCAGTGTACCACCTCAAATAGGAAAAGGTGCTGAAGAGCGTGAGGGAGGAACGTCAGGGGCCCAGGGCACATGTTCTATGGGGAGATGCTGTGGGTCCTTGGGTCCTTTCCTGTGGCACAGAGGAGAATAAGGGGGGCAATGGGTCTAACTGCAGACTTCCATTATTTGAAGGAGAGTTACAAAGACAGTGGAACCAATCTGTTGGTAGTAACAGATGATAAGAAAAAGACAGAGGGAGTGGTTGCAAGTTGTATATTTGGAAACTCACAGAGGGCATAAGGTGAAATTTCTTCATAAGGTGAGTAGGGCAGCACTGGCACAGGTTACTGAAAGAAAGGATAGAGTCTCCGTGGAAGGCTTCCGAGTCTCACAGGGGTGGCCTATTGGCAACGGCACTATTCCTAGGGGGAGGCTGGACTAGATACCTCCAGAGATCCCTGCAACCACCATTTCTGTGGTCCTTTGGCTACAGATATCAGAAGATGATGCACGGAAACAGCTTGTATGAGCTAAGCTGTAACGTGCACAGTGGCAACTTTTCTCTCACCTCAGCTTTACCAGAGCGTACGTGAACATATTCTCAGTGTTCAATTCTTTGTATAGAAAAATGGTTTTATTATTTGTGATTATCGTTTGCTAAATAGCAGAACTTACCTTCTACTGTGCTAAACTTGTGTCAGCCACATCTTGTGCCTTTTGTACCAGATCGTTAGCGTTATGCTACAGATTGTTTTCAACCAGAGGCATCAGCAGACTGTGGATGACTGTCAGTGGTTTTCTCTCAAAGTTTCTTCTTGCACAGAAATTATCCAAAAAAAGGCCTTTTATATATGGGTCTTTTGAGGCCTCCAGCAACTTACTTTTCTGGATCATTAATTTCTGCAGCCCATGTACTTCTGTTAACTTTTTGAGGTAACGTGTTCAGACTCAGGCGAGTTTTATGATTTCATCAGAACTAAGGTACGCTTACAGCATACTGGATTATAGCTCAATTAATTTTGCATCCCAATTAAGTAAAGACAATCTTATCAGCGACAAGTCTCTTTTCCATGTTAAATCTATCTTGATTGAGGTGTGATGCAGGGAATGAGAATGACTTACATGAATAGATGAAGACAGATACAAGCTCTTGTCTGCACCCTGTCAGATGCAAGCCAGCTTCAACCTGGGCCCGTAGCCACGGCAGTGAGCTACTGTGCTGCTGTCTGGGTATTCCCTACCTACCAGCTCAGCAGAGCACGTAGCATAAATTGAGGCACTTAGGTGCACCTTACTGCTATATGTAGAAATATCTGATGTGCAACAGTGAGGAAAAAAGGTCAACAAATTCTCAAAGAAAGGAAAAATACCCAAGATCAGAATCATTCCGGTAGCAGGCACGGCTCTAGGGACTGCTTTGCCTGTAAGTTACTGCCTGGTTGGCAGGCAGAAGGCATGCAGTAAATCTGCCTTGGGCACCAGCCAGCAGTCAGTTTGTAACACTAAACTGCTCAAGTGTAGTACTTTCAAGAGGACTGAAAATTGTGAGTTTGTACAGGTAGTTACCTCTTCTGCTTCCAGTGTGCATCCCCACTGTGCTTTGATTCTGATTTAACTGGTGATTTTATTTTCCCTTTACTCTTGATTATAAAAAAATCAGTAATTGTTTAAACTCTGTTGGACAGTTAGCTTTATCTATAGATCACAGAACGAACTGAGTACATGTGGTAAACATGCTTCATTTCCAGGTGGCCTTGAATTAAACACATCATTATCTTCCTGTAAGCATCTCATTGTATTAATTTTCTCACAGAATTGGTCCAGATGACCTCTTCTTTCCCTCCCCTCAGCTGTGCACAGCAGGATATCCTAGAAGACTGCTGCCTATGCCACTGATGCAATTTTGTGCTGGTGGACCTTGGGCAGTACTTCTCCTTCAGAGGAACTAAAAGCTACAGAGATTATAGTGTGCACCTATATGAACACAAATATTTGTGGTACCTGTAGATACAAAAATTTGATCAGTGCTATAAAAAAATCCTGTTATGTCATCACAAACCTAAACAAATGAGGTGCAATGTCACAGCCCGAGAGCTGTGTGGAGCAGGTCAGTGGTTCCCAATCATTCTGTCCTAGAAGGAAAATCAGCAGCGTGTATCACTGGATGCAGCCCTGCTCCCTGCCTTCTTCCCAGGGCAGCTGCTGCCTCTTCAAAATCATGTTCTGGAAGCACAGTTTGCAGAGCCCACAAAAGTCCTGCAGTTTGCTCATTTGTACTCTGCTCTTTTGTAGTCACAGAACCAAGTCTCCTGCTAGGCTGGAAGTGTGGGAAACTCGCCCTTCTTAAGAGTTGTTTCTCTTTGTACACAGATCACTTTTTTTTCTTCCCTGGGTTATTTCTCTGTATTCGCATTTCTGAGTCAGAGTTTTTGTTTACTGGGTGTCTGATACAGAATTAGATCAGGGCTGTCTCTCACTGATACTGGCGTTAGACAACAAGCTTGACTGCCAGTCAGTAACTCAGCAAATTCTCAACACAACACACAAAACATAAGGCTTCAATGCACTGGATACTTCCCCTGACCAACTGCTGTCAGGAGTTCACAGCATTTACTACAATTTCAAACTGCAGAGGATAAAGAGTATAGTTTCTTGTCCTTGAATCACAGGAAAAATTGACTCCTGGAATAAATGATTGTTTGTCATTTGTTACATATTTGTAGGGAACTGAAGACATGAGAATCAGAACCATGGACTTTAACCTCAGCCTGTGACATTAAGAAACCAGCTCCAGTTTATGACCCTCTAGTTCCATGACTCTGTCTTCTCTCATCATCAGTGCTGAGTGAGTTGGCAGATTTTTGCTTCCCTCTGAAGAGGTAAGAACAGTCAGTCTGCCCTCTCACTATCAGGAAAACAAATATTCCTCTCCCCTTCTCCACCTTCAAGTGCAACTGAGGGACCTTTGCCTTTTTCTAAGACTTACTCAGCCAACTTTCCTTTCTGGTTATGTTGTAACCTCTCTGCATAGTAGTATTCACTCTTTCAAGGCTTAGCTGTAAATACACCAGGCCTAGGGTACAGAAAGTACACAGTTCTGGCATAGAGTAAGATATTAAATCTGATTATTTTAGAGATCAGATTACTGGAGCTCTTTACAGTATTGTATAATGAATTAACTGCACACATACACACATTTACCTGCCATGAAATAAGCAGACCAGACACACTCTCCCCATGAGGAAAAGCTGCCACATACATAATAAATTGGACTGTGATACTGCAGACACCACCTCTCTGAAACTGCCCAACAAACCCTGAACTGCCCATAAGCAAAGCAGCCCTGCAGATGTACACAGGGCTCTTCCGCCGGAGCTGGCAGATGGCAGAGGCAGTAGAGCCAAAAAGAAGCCTGGAGGCAACAGCACGAGGGATGCAGCAGCATTAACAATACACTGAAATAACTATCAGGGACAAAAAAAAAAAAAGAAAAAAAAAAAGGAAAAAAAAGCCAGCCCCAAACTGATAGAGATCTTTAATTTAAAAATTGAGTAAGTTTATTCATTGGGAAAGTGCAACAAAATACCCCAGGGACAGCGCATTCCACTCCAACAATTAAAATTGCATTAAAAAGCAGATAGGAAGGTCTAAGTCTTGAAAAGAACTGGCACAAAAGCTAGTGCTTTTCTTTGTTTCAATGTATTTATCTTTGGGTGACAGAGATAGTTACCGATTAATTTTTTAAGTATTTAATTTACAATTTGATTGCTTCACTTGCAAGTCATTCTGTTCCTCAAAGATGCTGGTTTGGGACTAGAGAACCATAATCTGCAGGCACTTAAGAGGGGGGCAGTTTTGAAAGAATGGGGATATAGGGCTCAGTCACATATTTACTGTTGGAAGGAGACCCAGCTGGGAGCTACCAGATATTCTAAGTAGACATTGCCCACAATTGTTTCTCTCTAAAATCTGAGGTATGCAAAAAAAAGTCCAGTTCTACTCATAAGAACAGTTTTTGCTGCAGCTGAGGGGGTGCAAACAGGCAAAAGGAGAGCACTGAACTACAGCAAGCTTACAGCAGATGTTGCTTGAGGGAGCTGCTAGTTTCTGATCACTGAACCGATTTTTGCTGTAGAGGTCATTCTCCAGGAAACACTGCAGGTAGGTCTTGCACCCATAGCAGCCCATTCCCATTCATACTTAGTACTGCACTTCAGCTGGAGTTCCACAAGTCCAACAGGATCCTTTAACACATAGCAATTACGTATCTTTTGCTAGTGCTTTCTGCCAAATGATTTCAAAACACTTTAGGAGCATTACTGAACCAAGCTTAACATTCTCTGACATATAAGTATTTTAAAGGGAACTGAGTACAGTAAACATCTGCAACAAAACAACAAAAGAGTTCATCTCCCGTGTCCCAGTCCTGACCTGATCCTTCTTTTCCTTTTAAATTCTTTTTCTCCCTCAAACTATTTCTTATGGCAAGAACTACACTTATTCTGCAGAAGTTTATTAATCCCAATACAAGTGACTTCTAGTATGATTACATTAGTTCCCAATTCCATATGGAGGTTGCCTGTCCAGTCCACGTCAGCAGGATCTCCTGGTCTCAGCTGTCTGTATTTGGTTTATGTCTCTTGGCTCTGCTGTTCTCCTGATGGTGACTGTCTTCAGAGAGTGCTTGGCCCTTTCCGTTTGTCCCAGAATCCTCTGGAAATTTCTGACCCTCAGCCAACACCTGCCGAATAGTCATATTAATGCGGGAAGACTGCAAGTACTTGGCACAGACGTGCCAGTCCTCGTCAGAGCTGTGCTCAACGACTGAGCCAACAGGAAGGTCCGAAGGAAGTCCCTGGTCCAGGCACAAAGGCAAAGCTGTCCCTTCAGGGTTGGGGAGAACCCGGGGGACAGCATGGTACAGCAGACGGCTGAAGCCAGACATCACCATGATATCTCCACTGTGCATGAACATTGCTGTTGGGGCCTCCTCCCGCTTCAGGCCCCCAAGCAAAAATATCGAGGATTGCCCAAAACTAGAGATGGTAGGAGGATGGAGAGAAAAGAGAAAACAAATTCAGGCAGAGAACAATTGTATAATATACATAATATACAGTAAGAAAATATTAGCAACTAGATCTCTTTATAAAACAAACAAAAAACCGGATGGACTCCTAGTAACAACTTTGCAATAAGAACATATGAAACAGACTAAGAGGCCTGGTTCAAGGTAGGCATAGTGTGAGCAGTTGCCCTGCTGGGTCTGAAGCTCTGCTAAGGTTTTCATCCTTGCCCACTATTACCCAATTGCCACTCCGCTGCTTTAGAGCGGAACTGTGCTCTGTGCAAAGAGCTCTTCCACTCCACGCTCCACATCCATGATATTCAAGCAGTCTTCAAACAAAAACCTATGCCCTTGAATTGCAGCATCCTACTATTCAAATCTTCAGAGAGTGAAGATTATATACCCACTTAGCAAACTACATCATACTGATTTCCTGTAGCCATATGCAGCTGTAGAAAAAAAGCCACCAATCCTTCCACAACACTCAAGTGCTTTCCTTCACTCACCTGAATGATAAAAGGGGTCGAGAATGGTCTAGTTCAGACTCATCCACATGAATTCCCAGTGAAGAGTCAAAATGATAATAGTTCAATATCCCTGCTTGTGCTTGGAAACCCCGGAACCCACAGGCTGCAGCCACTTGTTCTGACAGGAATGCAAGGTCTGAGGGGAAAGGAGTGTGGTGATTTGCTGAGTACTTCTGGAGGAAGGAGAGCGGGGAAAAAAAACAAAACACAAACCACACCTAGAACATCACAGCAGCAAATACAATTGGAAACAAACATTGAATGACAATTCAGAAGTCTGGCTGATAGTTATGGAGAAGGACATAATATTTGCCTGGAAAATGACTACAACATAGGCAGAACCACAGCAACTTTACCTCTTGTCATCATTTAATTCTGGGCCTATGCCGAGACTACCAGAGATTCAATTAATCATGGAGTTAATCATTAAATCTGGATGGCAAACAACATCAGTAAGATTAGTACCAACATCTTGATGATCTGCTTGGTCACTACCTAAAGCTGCCAATGGAAAGATGGTTCTGTATCTCATTAACAGAGCTGTGAAACAAGCATCTTTGTTCCTTCTTTGAAGGATAAGGCAAAACAGGAATCAATTGCAAACTTACTTTTTCTCTCTCCCATGAGTGATTCTGAGAGGACTGGAAGGGAATAACCAAGTTTTTATTCAGGCGACCCAATAATAGGCTGACCTGGTAAATACAAGGCTGCAAGCAGATTTGGTTAAGTATCTGCAATATATTGATAAGACTGCATATTCACTCTGCCATCCTTTCTCAGCCTCCATCTGACTCAGTCTTATGAAGAAGTTTATTTTGGTCAGGAGCCCTAAAATAGCTGTTAGTTGGTGCGACTCTTAAGTTCAAAGTCACATCCACAGCAGTCTCTTCCTCCTCTAGCTCACCCTTCCAAAGACGAGTTGCTCGCAAATAGCTGTCTGCAACCACTGAAGGTCATTCTCACCTTAAGTAGTTAACAATGCTTTTGTGACCATCCCTTTTGGTATGGTAAAAATGCTCACTCACCCCGAAATAGTCACAAGTCTAGAGCTGTGTATATGCTACCATGTTACCTTTCAAAGGAAAGGCCGCAGCAAGGGACTTTTCCTGATAAATCCTTCACAGTAAATTAATACAGATTAAAATGTTCTTACAAGCATGGTTTGTTACAGCGTTTCCTCAACTGTCTTATGGCATCATAAGCATTTTATTCCATGATACTCTCCTCTGTTTGCCATTCTCAGTGCTTACAGATAAGAAAAATAGATAAGAGATTAATTTCACTACCTTAGTATCCCAATTATAATGGTAACCAAGGGTCACCCAGCGCAGCTTCTCCAATAAGCTTCTGGGCTCCCATTTACTGGAACCTTTCCTTCTGCAAAGACAAAATGGAAAGAAATAGGATATGTGTTAATTTCTGAGAAGTCTTCTGGTAGTGCAGCATAGAGTAGAAAGATTCACTCATGAATATGACAGCTTATTAAAACCATCAATGCTAAACTTTTATTTTCAGTGCCATTATTTTTTTCCTCCAAAGACCTTGAAAAATCAGTTCATATAAGCTATAGGGCCTACTGCCAACTGCTGTCAGTTTGAAAGCTTGTATTTTCAACATGGTCCATAACGGGTTATCAGATGGAGACAACACAATGAACTGGTGCAGATTTAGAAGTCAATTAAACATGTACTATTTGAGCACCTGAAAGTGAGAGAATAGAATCCGTGAAGATCTTAAAGCTGTAAACTCAAGGAAAAAATATTCTACGCACTTAATAGAAAATGGCAAGAAAGAAAAATGCTTCACCTGACAGTGAAGTGTACAAAGCTGCATAATACTGCAAAGGACCATTAGTTCTATTAGTTTGTACTTTTACAAGAAGTCCTTAGGATGGACTGACTCAATGTTCAGTAAGAAGCAAGACTGCTGTGGCTATGACCATACACTTCTTGTAATGTCAGCAAGTCCAGATTGCAGGTGTCTCCTATCCAGACCGCTACGCAGGACAAAAACCTGTTCTTCTCAAGTGACAGCCTTAATGCAGAGGGACTCGGCAGCCTGAAGCCACACACCAGTTTGCAATTCTTACTTGAAGGTGGCGAAGGCAGGAAGAGACCTCAGGGATGGGCTTTTACTATGGCCTACAGAAAAGTCCTTGAAAAGTTACAGAGTATTACTACAGTGAATCAGATAGAAACATGCTAGTGACAAATACAAAAACAAAGGTACACATCTATCTTCCAGTCCACTTACTCCAGCAATTTCAGCTTCTTTTCTCAAGCCAAGTCATGTGTTAGGGTAAAGAAAGAAAGAAAAACGAAATGTACTTGGAACATGATAAACACTAGCACCAGATGGTTGCCTCTCATTTATAGCCTCATTAGTTCAGTAAGACATGCTCTTTTATAAAACACGATTCACACTTGTGCTGCCATGGTCAAACCTCAGCCAAGCATCTGCATTTAATATGCATTTCTATCTGGATACAGGGCTTGTTTCTGCCCTTCACCTATACCGTACTGATAGCTCCTAAGCTAAACCAGAACAGTAGTAAAAGGTCTGTTTCTTTATCTTTAGTAATTTTTCATAGCTCACTGATTATTGAAATAAAGTCATCTTTCCAGTTTCTATCTTTGTCGTATTGCAACTGCAATTACCACAGTGAAGCACCACAGTAACTGTCAAATGCATGCGGCTCGGAACAATCTATGGGGTCTACAAGCAGGTTACACAGCACATAGAAAAGGGAGAGCCCACACCTCGTTCCTCTACATCTTTCAGTCGACAAACAATGTTCATAATGAAACACTTTTAGCATGTGCCTTTTGAAAGTGCCCTCCTCCTTTCGCTACAGTGCTAGAGCGTTTGCACAACAGCAGGAACCCTAATATGCTCAGCAGGTCCTTATTCCAAGAACTTCGTATTTTGCATCTGATACCACATGTGAATGCTAAGGACAGGGAAGTCTCAGTGTTATGTATCTGTAACGATGAGTTCCTAGAGCTGTAGCAGCAGGTGCTCCCACAAGAAAGCACAGAGAAATTCTGGTATAACTACATTAGAAAGAGAACAAGACTGAACAGCAGGGGGGTTATGGTCTGAAGCTCCCTTTTTTCTTTATTCACTGGTAAAATGATTGCATCTATAAAATCCCCCCAGCCTTTTCCTTATACGCAAGGAGATATACATATATATCTCCCTTGTAGGGATGCTCTATCCCCTTTTACGCTTTTAATTATTCCCAGCACTAAAGAAAATACCCAAACTCCCCTTTGTGGGGAGAGCACAGCATACATTTTTGGAACTGTATGGACTCTCCCTACCTTGTGATTCCTGCATCCTCACAAGATCAGATAAGCCATGACCCAAGCACATTTATGCATCTTCCTGATGGCTTTAAAAAGCATTAAAGTTGCATCCAGTCTTGGAAGCAGACCTGTTCTTAGTTAAGCACTCTGTTTCTCCCCTCCCTGAAAGGCTCTCACTCCAGATGCTACACAAGTTGGCTAGTTTGATCCCCTGTCCCCTAGATAAAAGCACAAATACAGCAGTTTGTTCACTTGAAGACTCAGGCAAGTGCTTAATAAAACTGCCAGTGTTTCTGCCAGCCTTCACTTTTCCAAACGCTGTTTTCAACTGAACTGGATTCAGCGGCAGATTAACCTCTGTTCTGATCATTCTCTGTGTGCGCAGGTGCTGCTGGGAAAAGCTTGTCAAGCTGCAACAGTAGCCCACTTTTTTTCAGCTGTAGGGCACAATGCACAATAATTTCAAAGAACAATTTTTCATCCTTGATGGAACACCAAAAAGGCATCTGAATTTCTGTTACTAATCCTAACTGAGCCTAGAAACCACAACTGGGGGCATAACTTCTCTCCTAAGTGAAATCTTGCTTTTGCCATTCCGTATCTTGTAGATGTTAAGGCTATTTTTGAAGAAAAAACTCAGCATGTCAGTTTTACTAAAAGACTGAGGTGGAAGATTAGAGCTGTAGGGAACTCTGGTCACTCCATCACATGAAACAATCGTCATGAAAAGTGAGCACTGAAACCAGTAAGATAATGACAAATACCCAAATAACTAAAAGATTGTGTACTGTAAACAGCCTCTATCTCGTATGTATTTTTACAAGTGATTCTAATTAAAAATGGTCTTTAAAACTTGGAATTTGAAAGTTTCTACTCCACTTCAAAACTTGGACAAATTCTCCATTAACTTCCAAATCAGGTAGAAGGCAGGCAGCTGCATCAGCCATTGAACTCCAAACCTGTGGGAATCCTTCAGAGTAGACAGGATTGCCATTAAAATAGTATATTTGATCACCATCTCAAATGGAAAAAAACCGAAACAACCCAAACCAAAGAAATATTTCAGAAAATAAAACCACAGAAGCTAGCTGAAGTTTAAAAAAGTGCAGATAACAGCCTTTCAATTACAGTATACCAGGTCCGAACAGCTAATTGGGACGAAAAGCTAGCGTGAGGGGTGTGTTTGGAAAGGATCCCTTTTGCCTCACGAAAACTGAGGTCTAGAGGGACCTTGTGGTTCCACTTGTGGCTGAGCTTAGCAAGCTTCCAAGCACCATGATACCAGCCAGGGTCAGTATTTTACATTTGACTGATGGCTTTGGAATAATTTGCTACTAGAAAATCCCATTGTGAGTGTGAAAGCAGAGAATTAACACGGATGCACATCAAGCCATGAAAAATCCATCTTTAACTTGGCACATCTGACACCATCTGTATACTGCCAGCATGTACACAATTTTTTTTCAGCTTCCCTTCCCTGTTAATTTTTCTTAGACCTTCTCCCAGCCAAGACCTTCTGGCTCCATTAGTTTTGACCACCAAAGGTTACTGTGGATTTACCTCAGCTGCTCCTTGCTCTGTCCCCACAGGTCAACGGTCTTCTCAGGAGACATGTGCAGGTCCAGGTTGCAGACATTGGGTTTCTGGGTGTACAGCTTGAGACACTGTTTCACCCAGTGACGCTGGCAGCCCGGAAGGAAAGGGTTTGGTATGAAAATAAACCCTAACCACAGAGAAAAAGGGAAGGGATGGGGAGAAAGTATGATTAGGCATTTCCCTGTTTTTTTCTGAAACTAAAACAAAGGACAGGCATCAGAGGTATTGAAAAAACACCTTAGACATATAACCACTGACTTGGCACATAAGCTGATGAAATCTATTAACAGGTCTGAATAGTTAAGTTAAAACCTATTGTTTTTTCCGTACAAACGAATGGTGGCCATAAGGTAGAAGGCAGAGAGGGCAGCCAACGCTGGTCCAAGTGAAAAATGACAATAAAGAACATATCTGTGTAAGGCATATTGATTACAGGTAGATAAAGGAGTAAGAACTTGGAAAGCCAATTGCTTCGGAGTAAATTTGATTTTGAAGTGATTCAGCAAGATTTTTCTCTTGAACCCTGTGAAGCTGAAGTAATTTTGTCCTAGTTTTTCTAGATTTCTAACTAATCTTGTTGCTGCCTCTGAACTTACGTCTTCTTATTGCTACTTCAGTGTCATGAACTGCAGAGAGCAGTCCACGGGCTGAGCAAGTCTCTAGTAACGTAAACTGCCTTCTCCTTTGCTTCACACTTATTTCCAGGTAACCCTGGTCCATCTTTGTATTTTGGTATAGTAACAGTCATCAAAAGGGATCAAAGTCAAATTATATCCCAAACTGCTTGCTGCTGACTGCAAATACTTTGCAGTCATTGTTAATTAACAAAACAAAATAAACATGTAGCTAGTTTGCACATTCATTTAGCCAGGCACCTCAGGCAGAGTTCAAGCAGCAGTCCAAGTAAGAGGGTTAGCAGAGATACAACAGATTGATTTGGTCTGTATCTTGACAGGTAAGAATCCTTGACATAAGATCTGCCATCACCAGGAGTGCTAACAGGATTTTTTTCACTGGAATTTTCCCCCCAGCACCCCAGGGGTGTTTCCTTCCAGGCCAGGGTTGATGGTATTGATGAACGAGTGTCTGATGGAGAGATGCTACTGATCTGTATTGTACCTACTCTGAGAATCAAGGCGCTCTCTCAAAGACTGTCAATTCAGTAAGATACGTCAACACAAAATTCACATACAAAGAGAGATAAGGGTATAGGAGGAACGAAAGAAAAGGTTTCAGGGTTTTGCCCTACTGCGTCTTTTTGCACTTCACGGTCACATCAAGTTAAACAGAAACAAAAATAGATCAAAAAGAAAGAAGCAAGGCTCGGAGTCTCAGTAGGATACAAACCTGCCTTGTGGCCTTATGAAAGTGGTAATAAAAGCCCAGAAAAAGCTTCCTGCCAGCATATCTCACAGACCTCGCAAGATTAAATTGACTGGTTAGAAAAAGCCTTCGGTGTGTTAATAATATACTGTCATTCATTTCACTCCATTTCCTGCACCTTCAGACTATGGCAGCCTTCTGATAGGTCTGGTCACAAGAAGTTTATTTGCCAGAAGCATTAAATTTACGTTCTGTTGGCCTCTGCATGGAACAGAGTAATAATATTGCCCTTCCCATCTACAGCTTTTGATGTGGGGTTCTCAAAGCATTTTCCTATATTAATGAAATTACACTCTATTACGTGTGTATTATCTCCAGGTATTAATGAAGAAATTGAAGCCTGGAGGGCTAGTTACACACAGACCTGAGAACAAGAATCCAAATTTTGAGACTCTTGTATCAGAAGCTTCGAACATGCTCATGTCTCTCCAAATTTTTCATTGCTTACTCCTAAGAAACCAGATTACTCTACATTTACAAAAGCGAGAACAATGGAAAAGTGGATTACTGCTATGCTTCTGATGTCAAGAAAGGCAGAAAATCCTGAATTTCTAACACTTGCAGAATTTTGCTACAGAATTCCACACTAACATTCGAGACTAATAGTTCCTGGAAGGGCCAATAGTGCTAGAAATCAGTGACTTACACATGGGATGGAAAAAATTAAGAAATGTATTTCTGTAGCAATCTTTCTGAGCTGATTAAAAAACACCACAAACAAGCTTTGAAGGCAACACAACTGAACCTCCTGGCCTTGAAAGAGTTGGTCTGAGTGGAATGGGCAAAAGACAAATTCTTTGGCAATCTGTGTACTAAAGGAATCTGTCTTGAGGAAGCAGACACAATTCTCTTACTGCAGAAAAATTTGTGGCACACTAGGAATTAATTTACACCTAGTGAAAGTGGTCTCCAGCCTCAGTCAAAGGAAGGATAAGACACGCAGATGTCTAGCAACAAGAACAGACCTTCAAAAAACCGATTTGTGTCAGTTACCAAGACCCAAAGACAGCATCACCCACATCTCACAGAACTCAGGACACCGCAACACAAATTCAACCAGCCTCCTTAGTCTTATATTTCATGGCTCATTGTAGGGACAAAACCAAATGACTTCCCTTCCATTTGCCCAAAGACAAACTAAAGAAATTCTTACTTATTTTAGAGGACTGTTGGGGCAGTTGGTTAAATATCTTACAGAGCTTTTAGGATGTCCAGATAAATGTAGCTGGGAAACGATAAAGCATTACTCTTGTCCACACATGACTTGGTTCTAAACAGGACTGAGAATTTGTTATGTGTTTGCATTTCATTCTAGTGAAAGGTTTTCTTTGTCAAAGCAGAAGAAAAATGCAGTTAAGTAGAACACTTGTGATTGCCCCCCCCCATGTAATTGCCAGAAAAGATGTTTAGACAGACATAAAATGACAAGTGAGACCAAGCAAAAGCAGCTATAATATGACAGGTAAGGGGAACAAAAAAATTATAGAGGCGAGAAGAAGTGGAAGCCTTTCTCCTGAAGTTATTCAATTCCCTGAGCATTAGCCATGGCAGATGGCTAAGGTGCCTGCCTCAGTTTCAGCAATGGTACGCTGGCTTCATAGCAACCCACACAGACACTGACTGCAGTCCCCATGAACCAAAAGAAACATAAGAAAAAAACGAAATCAAAAAAAATCTTTGAAACAAGGAGGAACTACAAACTCATCAGCCTTACCAAAACCTCTGGTTAGATTATGGAGCAAACTTTCATGACAGCCATTTCCAGACACAAGGTGGTTGGGAACAGCCAGCATGGATTTACTGAAGACAAATTGTGTCTAACCAGCCTTACTGCCTGCTACAGTGAGACGCCCAGACAAGGGGAGAGCAAGTGATGCTGTTTACCTTGGCTTTAGCAAAGTTTTCCAGTCAGTCTGCTGCAGCATCACTGAAGCTAGACTGGGGGCTCATGGATTTTATGGGTAAACTAAAAAGGTGAAAACAAAAGCTGGCTGGGCCACTACGCTTAAAGAATAGTGATTTGATGGTTCAAAGTCTCACCAGTGGTTGCGATGAGCTGTGTTCCTCAGGTTGATGCTGGGGCCAAGACTAGTAACTACATCTATGTCAACAACCTGGACAATGGGATATTCATCCTCATCACACAGATAACACTAAATTGGGGCAGCAGTGGATATGCTGGAGGCTACTGCTGCCACTGAAAGGGACCTTGACAAACCAAAGGAATGGGCAAACAAGAACCTCAAGAAGTTCCACAGCGATAATCTTGCACCTGGGGCAGAATAATCCCATGGAACAGTATGGCCTGAGGACAAGGGAGCAGCTCTAAACCAAAGGAGCAGGGGGTCTTGGAGGACAAACTGAGCACAAGTCAGCACTGCACCCTTACAGCAATACAGGCCAATTACACATTGGCCTGTATTAGTAAGGGCTACCTAAAGTGGCTTTATAGAGAAGGTGGAACCACCTTCTCAGAGGTGCATAGCAAGGTTATGAGAGGCAACAGTCACAAACTACAGGAAGCCATATTTTGATTAGAAGATGAAAAAAAATCAGAAGAGCAGTCAAACATCGGAACAGGTGCCCAGAGAGGGTGTGTAATCTCTGTCCTTGGAGATTTCCAAATCTCACCCATACAAAGCTCCGAGTGACCTAATCTAACTTTCAACTTGACCCTGCTTTAAGCAGGGAGCTGGACTAGACCTCTGAAGGTCCCTTCCAACCTAACATCTTTCTGTGATTCTACCAGGTGACCTGCAAACCTAAGATCCATTTCAGTTTTGAAATAACCTGCCTAACGAAATTACGCTGTAGCTTGAATAGGACAAGAGGTTCTTATTCACTTACTGTACTCAGTGTTCTACACCAGCAAGTAGATGCCACACTTCAGCCCCAAAATGACTGTATTTCAGTCACATATAAAAGCAGAAGAGGCACCAATGGTGAATGAAGTCGCCGGCCAACTCCAGCAATACAAAGACAATCTCTCTTCTTCCCTACAGGCTGGTGTTAATACTACTACTAATAATGATAACAGTAATGATAATACTGAATACGCAAAACTAACTATATACAAATATACAAAACAAACTATATACGATACACTGTTTCTCACCACCCAACACCGAATTTGCAGCCAGTCCCCGAGCAGCTATCATGGAACCTGGAAATCGCAAAATTCCCCCAAAAAAGTTCAAACTCCCAGACGAGAAGACTCGAACTCACAGAAGAGAGCAGATTCCTGCCCCCGGCCAAGCCCATTCATGAAGTGAGCATGATGTCTACAGTACAGAATATTTCCATTGGCCAGCTTGGCTATCTGTCTGGCTGTGCTCCCTCCCAGCTCCTGCACACCTGCTCATTAGCTGAATGTGAGAAACTGGACAAAGTCCAACAATGTTATCAACATTATTGTCATACTAAATCCAAAACACAGCAGCTACTGAGAGGAAAATTAACTCTATTCCAGTTGAAACCAGGACAACAAATATAAAATTTCTATCAAAGGCAACAAGAATCCATTCTCATGAGGGGATGGTCTGGTTGATCAGAGACTGTGAAACAACTGGCCCTTCTGTTCTCCCCTTCATGTATATTACTGCGTCCCACCCTTTAGCTGACTTATTTGTCCTTCTGCACTTAAAATAACATTAAATTACACTTAAGCAAACAAAAATAGCTTTTTCAGGCAGGGCAAGAAGGATAAGAGGGAAGATGCCTATATCCAAAGCAACAAGGTTGTGTTTAATTTTTCTTGAAATCAGAAGTACCTACCCGGATACCCATTGAGGCCATAGGCTTTCCACTGGCTAACTGGCCGTAATCCTGCTCTGTAGGCATCTTGATCGCTGACTGAAGAAATACTGAGCTGCGATTTGAACACCTGGCAAAAGAAAGCAGATCAGGATAAAAAAAAAAAGGGGGGGGGGAACACAAAACTCATCCAAAAATAGCACCCATAAGAAAGAGTGCTACCATATTCCAAGGTAAGTCTTGTGAAAACACCAACCGTACCACAGAACTATTGTCTAAGCAACTGTGACCAGAACAGGGCATGCTGCTAACAGAGCTGGTGTGTACTCAAGACAAGAATCAAAAGGTACCTACAGGTTTTACAATACTGAAGGATCAGGAGAAATGTCCTCCATTCATAAAAAAAAAAAAAACCCCAAACAATTTATACCAATGAGAAATGGCACTATTTGTCCATTTCCACAGCACAGCCTCATCATTGATAATTACCAGAATGTTTTATAGTCTCCACCAGAGAGCAATATTTAGTACCCATAACACTTTACACCTTCAAAGAATGTTCTAAATACAGGTTACTCATGAACCATAGAGCAGATGACTATTCCCATCTATAATTTACAGAAGAAGCAGTACAGTGATGAAGCGGCCAGAGTTGTCAGATGTGAAGGACTGCACAAACCCTGTAAATTCCAAATACCACATCCCCACTTCTGTTTCCCACAGCAGGGTCAACAGCTCAAGGCTCAGCAAGATGTATTTTGTTGACTTATTCTCTTGGGTTGCAGTAACAGATGTATTTAAGACCACATAAGCCAACACTTGCTGAAAAAAACCCAAACTCATCCACTGTGTGTTCCCACTCCCTTCTTCCCTTAAGAGTGGGAACCGTCCTAGAGAGGGCAGGATAGAGGCAGGCTGGTTTTGATCTGGCTTAGTTCCCCAGTCCAGCTCTTCACAGGGCTGTGCAAAAGTACAGTAAGTATAAGGAAAGTGCTGGCCAAGCATCGTGGGAATAAGCAGCCAGAGACAGGCAAGATTTTGTTAATGACAATTTAAAGTGTATATGAATTTAAGGCCTTTGCAAGCAGACTCTGGAGTGGTGAATGTGTAAATTGGTCTGTCTGCAGGCTGACAGCTCTAGCTAATGTTTTCTGAGCACCAGGTCCAAATTACGTACATAGAATTTGTAAGAAAGCTCTACACTAGTGGTGGGCAGCAGCTTCTGGCAACACGCTCAGTTCTACCAATTTTTCAGTTCTCTGCCAAAAGCAGCTTTGTGATGGCCAGCCTTGAAGAGCTTAGTGCAGCGCCCTGGCTGCAGAACATCCCCAGGAAGGCTCTTCCTTTGACTAAGACTCTGCCACCTCTCCCTTCTCCAACTGCTTACACACCGGCTGCTGCCAGGGCTTCTGGAGAACAGGAGCCGTTTCTATGCTGAAGCATTACATGTGCCGAATCAGTTAAATAAGCCTGGCAGCAGGGCAGCTGGGGTACGTCACACTTCACTGAAGAGCTCAATCACTTGAAGCAGTTTTCTGAGAGAAAAGGAACAACAGTATCTGAGCCAATCTGCCTGGCCTGAAGCTCTTCTTAAAGAGAAAAGCCAGACGCTTTTAACCTGGGGGAAAGAGGAATAAAAGATGCTTTCACTAGTAAGCTATCAACCGATCTTAGAAGGTAACAGGCACAAAAAAATGAATGAAAAGAAGGGATGGATGCTTTCGATGCTTTCAAGTACTTTTGAATTTCTCAGAAGGGCTGTAACGCTAGAATCCTTTCTTTGATAAAGGACTGCTGCAAACTCAAGAAAAGCTGAAATGTTGACAGCTCCCTTATTTAATACAAACATCCTGAACACTTTCATATGGGTCAGGTTTTGTGTCCCATCAACAATATCAAAATTCTAGTCTGAAAAGACAGAAAGATATATATTCTAATAGAACACTAAAAAGAAAAGGCTAAGCATTTGAACTATGAAAAACTAGGCAAAGTTTCATTTTAACTATATTCCCTACTCCCTTTTTTCATATAGGCTCATATGTAGAAAATCCCTGTTTAACAATCCTTCAGCAAATATCTGTTATCCTTCTGTGAGGTGGCAAAGCACAAAATTACTTTAAAGAATCACTTCTGCATCACTCAAGACATGGTAACTACTAACCATGATGGCTACTACTTTCAGATGTAGACACCAAACTGGGAGGTGTGGTGGATACACCAGCAGGCTGTGCTGCCATTCAGCATGACCTGGATAGGCTGGAAAGCTGGGCAGAGAGGAACCTGATGAGGTTCAACAAGGGCAAATGCAGGGTCCTGCACCTGGGGAGGAACAACCCCATGCATCAGTACAGGCTTGGGGTGGACCTGCTGGAGAGCAGCTCTGTGGACAGGGACCTGGGTGTCCTGGTGGACGACAGGTTGACCATGAGCCAGCAGTGTGCCCTGGCTGCCAAGGCGGCCAATGGGATCCTGGGGTGCATTAAGAGGAATGTGGCCAGCAGCTCGAGGGAGGTTCTCCTTCCCCTCTGTACTGTCCTAGTGAGGCCCCATCTGGAGTGCTGTGTCCAGTTCTGGGCTCCCCAGTTCAAGAAAGATGAGGAGCTACTGGAGAGAGTCCAGCAGAGGGCGACAAGGATGGTGAGGGGACTGGAGCATCTCCCCTACGAGGAGAGGTTGAGGGAACTGGGCTTGTTCAGC